CCGGGTCACACCCATTCTCTGCCTCAAGCCTCCCGAGGCTAGCGGGACACAGGCACCTGGTTCAAGCAATTCTTCTGCCTCAGCCTCCTGAGTAGCTAGGATTACAGGTGTGCACCACCATACACAGTGCCTGCCACCATGCCTGCCACCACACCCAGCTAATTTTTTTGTATTTTTAGTAGAAACAGGGTTTCACCATGTTGACCAGGCTGGTCTCCAACTCCGGACCTTAAGTGAGCTGCCTGCTTCAGCCTCCCAAAGTGCTCGGATTACAGGTGTGAGCCACCGCACCCAGCCTAAACAACATTCTTCTAAATAATCTATGAGTCTAAGAAGTCTCAAGAGAACTAAAAAATATTTTGAACCAGAAAAAATGAAACTATAACTTATCAAAATTTATGGGATGTGGCTAAGGCATCCCATAAAAAGCATTTGTGCTTACAGAGAAAATTATAGCATTAAATGCATATATTAGACAAGAAGGTCTTAAATCAATCCTCTAAGCTTCCACTTCAGGAAACTAGAGAAAGAAGAGCAATTTAAACCTAAAGCAAGCAGAAGAAACTAAGTAATAAAAATTAGAACACAACTTGAAGAAAACAACAGGGGAAAATCAACAAAACCAAAAGTTGAACTTTGAAAAGATCAATACAATTGATAAAACTCTAGCCAGGATAACCAAAGAAAAAAAGAGAGAAGACATAAATCACAATATCAGAAATGACCAACAGCAAGCTATCATCACTACTAGTCCCATAGATCTCATAAGAAGGATAAAAGAATATTATGAACAACACTATAGCCACACATTTGACAGCTTAGTTAAAAAGACCAGCCTGGGTGACAGAACAACACTCCATCTCAAAAAAAAAAAAAAAAAGACTTTTCACTGTATACTTTTCATTTGAGTTACATATCAAGTGCAATGTAATGCCTGATAACAATATAAAATATTTTTTATTAACATCACCACTTTGGAAGAGAATGTCTTAAGAAGTTAAACATATACCTGCCATATGATCCACTGTACTCCTGGTATGTCATTTCCAAGAGAAATGAAATCATATGTCCATGAAAAGACTTGTATGCGACTCTCATAGCCCTTTGCTTATAACAGTAAAAAAGAGAAACAACCCCAATATCCCTCATCAGGTGAAACCAATTGTAGTCCATCCATACAACATCATACAATGAAATACTACTCGGCGATAATAGGAACCAGCTATTGGCACATGTAGCCACATGGATGAATCTCAAAACCATGATGTGAAATTTTAAAGGTTTTAAAAAAGAGTACATAATTATGATTCCATCTACACAAAATTCTAGAAAATACAAACTAGTGATAGAAAACACATCAGCAGTTGCCAGTGGGTAGGGGTATGGGGAAGGAGGCACGGGTATGGGGAAAGAGGCAGGAGGAAATTTTTAGGACATGGAAATACTCATTATCTTATTTTGGTGATAGTTTCATGAAAGAATACAGATGTTAAAGCTTCTAACTGTATACTCCAAATACGTACAGTATTGTACATCAGTTATACCTTAATAAAGTTGTTAAAAAAAAAAAAAACACCCCACAGTGTAATTGAGGTGATGGGGAAGGAATGAACTAAATCTATAGGTATCTGGTTTAAAATATCTTGAAAATATAACAGAAAAGAGCAATACTGTATTTTGGTTATGGACACCTTTTTTTAAATGTCCAGTGGAGAGGATTGACTTATTAAATGGAAGAGAGACAGAGGAAGAGAAAATTTTAAAATTTTGAAAGACTAGAAGTCATATAGGGTATGTTCTCAGACCACAATGAAATTAAACTAGAAATCAATGACAGAAAGCTGGAAAAGCTGCAGATTAAACAACATACTTCCATACTTCTTTTTTTTTTTTTTTTTTTTTTTTTTTTTTTTTTTGGAACAGGGTCTCCCTCTGTTGTTCCAGGGCTGGAGTGCAGTGGTGCGATCTTGGCTCACTGAAATACCTCCACCTCCACGGTTTCAAAGCAGAATTCTTCTGCCTCAGCCTCCTGAGTAGCTAGGATTACAGGTGTGCACCACCATACACAGTGCCTGCCACCATGCCTGCCACCACACCCAGCTAATTTTTTTGTATTTTTAGTAGAAACAGGGTTTCACCATGTTGACCAGGCTGGTCTCCAACTCCGGACCTTAAGTGAGCTGCCTGCTTCAGCCTCCCAAAGTGCTCGGATTACAGGTGTGAGCCACCGCACCCAGCCTAAACAACATTCTTCTAAATAATCTATGAGTCTAAGAAGTCTCAAGAGAACTAAAAAATATTTTGAACCAGAAAAAATGAAACTATAACTTATCAAAATTTATGGGATGTGGCTAAGGCATCCCATAAAAAGCATTTGTGCTTACAGAGAAAATTATAGCATTAAATGCATATATTAGACAAGAAGGTCTTAAATCAATCCTCTAAGCTTCCACTTCAGGAAACTAGAGAAAGAAGAGCAATTTAAACCTAAAGCAAGCAGAAGAAACTAAGTAATAAAAATTAGAACACAACTTGAAGAAAACAACAGGGGAAAATCAACAAAACCAAAAGTTGAACTTTGAAAAGATCAATACAATTGATAAAACTCTAGCCAGGATAACCAAAGAAAAAAAGAGAGAAGACATAAATCACAATATCAGAAATGACCAACAGCAAGCTATCATCACTACTAGTCCCATAGATCTCATAAGAAGGATAAAAGAATATTATGAACAACACTATAGCCACACATTTGACGGCTTAGTTAAAAAGACCAATTCCTTGAAACATACCAACTACCAAAAGGCAAACCATGCAAGGCCTGCAATAATAAAAAATGTGAGAAAGCAAGATGGCTTCTAACTTTGACTTCAATGGGCCGCATTAGCTAGGGGAAAAGAGTTGGCAACACAAAGGTGATGGGTAATGAGAGGCGCACAAAGGGCCAGCTGGGAAGGCTTCAAAGAGGAAGTGTGTCTAAAACAGACAGGGAAGGACACTTTTACCAGGACCTCACAGGGTGCCTCAGAACCAGCAAGTCCACAGTATTACGGACTGAATTGTGCCCCCTCTGCCCCCAAAACTCATATGCTGAAATCCTAACCCCGAGGGCCTTAGATTGTGATTATTTGGAGATAGGGCCTTTAAAAAGGCAATTAAGTTAAAATGAAGTCACTAGGATGGGCCTTAATCCAGTATGACTCGTGTCCTTATAAGAAGATTAGGATACAGATGACACAGACACCAAGCACTCCTGCACCGAGTGACCATCACGTGGAGACACAGCAACAGAGTGGCCACCTGCAAGCCAAGGAGAGAGGCCCCAGAGGAGACCAAACTTCCCAGCACTTTGATTTTAGACTCCTAACGTCCAGATGTGTGAGAATACAAATTTCCACTCTTTAAGCCACCCAGTCTATGGTACCTTGTTGTAGCAGCCCAAGCTGAACTCATGATCCTTCTCTCCAAAACCCATTCTTTCCCACAGTCCGACATCCACCCTGAAGGACAGCCAGAAATCCCACCCTTACACCTCACATTCAATCTTGTAACAGGACCTGTCTATTTTACTACTCAGCTCTCTCCTATCCATCATTTCATACCCGGATGACCTGCAAAAACCTCTTCAATAGTTCTCCATGTCCATTCCAGGCATGCTCTGAATCCTTTCTCCCAATGCCCCCAGAGAGATCTTTTCAAAACACAAATACAACCTGTCATACCTCACCCATACCCCTACCCCTTATGGCCCTTAGTGGCTGACCACAGCTTTTAGAATAAAGACAAACTCTATACCATGGCCTGTGGAGCTCTGCCCAGCTCCCCAGCCTCACTGGCTTTCTTCAGTTGCACGAAGGAACGAACGATGCTCTTTCTTGCCACAGGGCCCTTGCACATGTTGTTCCTTCTGCCTGGAATGCTCTTTCATCACCTGGTCAACTTCCCTTCCATTGCTTGGCTAACTTCACTCACTCTGATCTCTAGCTTAAGCACCACTTCCCTAGAGACCCTCTGGGACTTCCCCTCCCAAGTCTGAGTCACATTCCTTATAATAAGCACTTGGAGAAGTGAGTTCCTTTCCTTCAGAGGCTTTCTCAGAGTTTATAATGAAACACTCTTTTGTGGGAGTCTTTGTTTGATACCAGTCTCCACTACTCAGTGGGAAGCTCTGGGAGAGCAAGGACCATTTCTCTTTTTGGTTCACCATCAAGTCCTAGCACCTGGCACAAAGTAGGTCTCAACTGATGCTTACTGCATGAATGGATGAATGGAATTAGGAAGAAATAGGGGAGATGGCACTCCCAGTATGGGAAAAAAGATACTTGAAAGTTCTGCTGAGACCACCATTCCTGTAGTTTGGCAAAGCCTGAACAGTGCAGTCTGTGAACATAAAAGGTTGTGGGAGAACCCCAAAACCAACACCCACATCACACACGCATGCACATCAGGTACATACCCAAATTCTGGAAGGTCTCTGTCAAAATGCACACTTTCCTCGTAGAAGACATTCAACTCTGCATCAACAGCAACAACCTTTACCTGGAAGGCATTTTTAAAAATGAAGTGTAGAATTTTCCTCAGCTTCTACACTGGTCCAGGGGGTACTAACATCACCAGATGAGGCCCCACACCCTAGGAGCAGTTCAGCCCAGAGACCTCCTTGAAGGCAGGGCTGCCTCACCGTAATTGTGGTAACAGAGGACTCATCTGGGTGACACTCAAAGATTTAGTAAAATGAAGAAACCGAGGCTGAGGAGGAATACCCACATGTCTCAAGGAATCTTTGTTCCCCAAACAGCCAAAGCCAAGATCCTCTAGAGGAAGATGTTCACAGATGAGTTGGTTCATGCACCTGACAAGGAGGCAGGAGAAAGTGCCAGAGAGGAAGGAATGGGAAGCAAGGTTTGGAGGCATCTCTGGGGGTCCATGTTTGCAGAGGCCTGAGACCAGGCAAGGCCATGGGCTGTTCTCACAGGCCATGGTTGTGGTCCAGAAACATTAATACCCCACTGAAGCAATATCCAAGCTTGGGAGTATAACTACTTTCCTGGACACCTGGGGAAACTGAGGTCTAGCAAGGCAACTCGAGTCATCCAGAGTCCCACAGGACTTTCACCCCAAGGACTGGCCAGAGGCCTGCCTCCCTTGACCCATTCGAGAAGAGGGGTTTGACTGCAACTGTGTATACAAAAGGTGCCCCTGGTCACCCCATGCCCTGTTTGAAGGCAGATTTTGATTTGCTTGCCTGTTTGCAGGGCGTTGGCAGCAGCACATTGTTCCTCTGACCAGCAGTCCTGGGTCCGCAGACCAGGCAAGCTGGTGTCAACGAAGGGCGGTCACAGGGTAAAGTCCATTTGTACACTATGCATTTCACTTTTTTTTTTTTTTTTTGAGACAGGGTCCCGCTCGCTCTGTCGCCCAGGCTGGAGAGCGGTGGCGCCATCTTAGCTCACTGCAATCTCCACCTCCTGGGCTCAAGCGATCCACCTCGGCCTCCCGAGAAACTGGGACTATAGGTGTGCATCACCATGCCTGGTTAATTTTTGTATTTTCTGCTAGAGACGGAGGTTTCTCCACATTGCCCAGGCTGGTCTCGAACTCCTGGGCTCCAGCGATCCACTCACCTCGGCCTCTCAAAGTGCTGGGATTACAGGCAAGAGCCACCAGGCCTGGCCCATTTCAATTTTTTAAAAAAGGTTTCGGGCTATAATTTGCTTCCAGGTCACTGGTTGTGCATGTGCGCAGGGCTACCCGCCTGTCTGTTCCCCTGCCTTACAGTAGCTGACTTCCTTCGGGTCCCTGTCACTCGGTGCCCATAACAGCGCACGAACCCACCGAGTCCTCCCGCCCCTCTGGGCACCGGGGGTCCTGCCGAGGGACGCCCGCAGTTTCCTGGGGTAGCGAGGTCTAGGCGGGGTCGAGGCTGCATCTTGCGAATGGGTGGCATTGGCAGGGCATCTCCGGGCGAGGGCACCGGTGCCCCACGGCCGCGCGCGGGGTAGGGGCGCGGGGTCCCGGGAAGCCCGAGAGGTAGGCGCGCCCGCGGCCGGGCCCATGTTTTTCCCGCGTCCGGGTGACAGCCCGCCCCTACCCCCAGCGTAGCGGAGGAGGCGGCCCCGTGGCCCTGCGACCAGGCGACTGTACCTGCTGCGTGCTGAAGTCCCAGCCCAGGCAGCAGCGGCGAGGGGCGTGCTCCGCCATGACCCTCGCGGGTAAGGCTGCGCGTTCGTCAGTCCGTCCGTCCGCACCGCGGCGTGACTGTCGCCGCGCTCCAGCGCCCAGAGACGCAAGGGCCCGCCCCTCGCTCCGCCCGGCCGGACTGTGGACCCGAGTCACGAGGCGGGCTTGCGCTCTGGCGCCGCCTGCGGGACGACGCGAGTCGGCACCGCGTCCTGTGCAATCGACGGTGCCCCCACGCAGCCGGCTTTCCTTCCAAGCGCACCCACTCTGGTCCTCCCCATCTTCATCTTCTCTCTACATGGGCCTTGCCTTGACACAGTCTGGCTTCCCTTAGAGGACGCCTGGGCCAGAGGTTTCAACTATAAGCCAGCTTGTCTCTCAGAGGGACCCTGCCTGTCCTTCTGGAGGCCCTATGCCTGCAGTCCTCTGTGGCTGTATCTTGGCACTGGAACAGCTGTCCACCCATGGGGGTGACTCAGGGGCCACAGGGAAATGGGCCCTGGGGTTGGAAGCACTGGATCCTGACAAGCCCCGCCTAGATCCAGCAAATCTGAGTGGTTCCCAGTGTGTCACATCCCTGCCGTGTATTTAAACTCAGAGCTCCTGACGCCCCCACGGGGAGACACTCATTCCTGGAGTCAGCTGGTATTGATGGTCTAAATGTGTGCCAGACGTGGTGAAGGGGAATGGGAACCAGAGTCAGACTCACTCCCTTTATTCATGGAGCTGAGGGCACCTGTCCCACCAGCTACATCCTCCTGGTCCCTAAGACTGACTGCTTTCCAGAATTCCTCCCCAAACCCAGCATGTGAGAGCCTCCTCCTACGAACTTCCCAGCCCACCAGTGCCCTTCTCATGCACTTGCAATGGTCTGTCTCCCTTGCTGAACTTGAGCTGCTTGGAGTCTACATGGGATCCTCTTCATTGCTGGAACAAGAAGGGGCCAACTTGTCCTCCAAGACATTCACAGCTTACTGGGGACACAGCCCCTCTAGCAGTCACCACCTGTGACAATAGACAAATACTGGATACTAGCTAGATCGCGAACAATTAGGCAACCTGCTGAGCACATTTAATCCTCACAATGATGCTGGGAAGTAGGTAATATTATCTCCACTTTTAAAACATTTTAAATAAAGGTATCTAATCTAATAAAGGTAACTAATCTAATTAAGATTAGATTACTGCATTTTAACCTAATCTTAACTGATTGATGACTTTTTTTTTTTTTTTTGGACAGTTTCGCTCTTGTCACCCAGGCCGGAGTGCAGTGGCGTGATCTCGGCTCACTGCAACCTCCACCTCCCAGGTTCAAGTGATTCTTCTGCCTCAGCCTCCCATGTAGCTGGGATTACAGGCGCCCACCACCACGCCTAGCTAATTTTTTTTGTTTTTTGAAACAGAGTTTCACTCTTGTTGCCCAGGCTGGAGTGCAATGGCGTAATCTCAGCTCATCGAAAACTCCGCCTCCTGGGTTCAAGTGATTCTCCCGCCTCAGCCACTGAAGTAGCTGGGATTACAAGAGTGAGCCACCGCGCCTGGCTCTAATTTTGAATTTTTAGTAGAGACGGGGTTTCAACATGTTGGTCAGGCTGGTCTCGAACTCCGACCTCATGTGATCCACCTGCCTCAGTCTCCCAAAGTGCTGCGATTACAGGCGTGAGTCACCATGCCTGGCCGATGATTTTTTAAAAATGTATGTATATACCCATATAAACATTGAGATCAAAACAGAACATTTCCACCACTCCAGAAGTTTCCTTCATGATCCTTCCCAATCATTAACTCCCAAGACAATCACTATTCTGATGTCTGCCAGTATAAACTCACTTTGAACTTTGTATAACTTACCATCTTCATTTTACAGAGTGAGAAACTGAGATGTAGAGAAGTTAATTAACGTGGCCTAATGAAATTGCCATTGCGAAATTATAACTGAGAGAGTGAAAGAGATCTGACTTAACCAACTCCATCTTGCTTCTAGCCTCCAAGCTGTCGTTGCTCATTCCTGGGCATAGGCAGAACTAACTCTGGGAGGAACTTACTTTATAGTTTAAAACAAAGATGATAACAGCATCCCCTTCTTACCTGTGACTAGACTGCCTTTATAGGTCGAACAAATTAGCTACAAGATTAGAAATTAAGGTTTAGGAGTCATGCAGCTGAAGACTACAAGATTCAGACCATCTCCAAATTGCTCCTGGGGATAACATCACTATTGTGCTTGAGGTATTTTAGAGACCCTGCACTTGATGGATCAGCTGACCCCACCCAGATCCATAAGCTGGCTCATATGATCTTGTGGCCTCCACCCAGGAACTGACTCAGCGCACGAAGATAGCTTCAAATTTCTGAGTTCATTTCCGACCCAACCAATCAGCACTCCCAACTCACGGGCCTCCACCCACCTACCAAATTATCCTTAAAATCTCTGATTCCCAAATACTCTGGGAGACTGATTTGAGTAATAATAAAACTCTGGTCTCCTACACAGCTGGCTCTGTGTGAATTACTCTTTCTCTATTGCAGTCCCCCTGTCTTGATAAATTGGCTCTGTCTAGGTAGTGGGCAAGGTGAACCTGTTAGGTACTTATAGCTCCTTTGCTCATATCGTTGGACCACTCCTTCCTTTGTACAGAATGAGGTGTTGCCCAATTCTAGAATCACAAATAAAATCCATTTAGGATCTTTAAACTAAATTTGTTGTAATTTTATCTTTTGACAGGAGATGTCAGCTCCCAGTAAGAGTGGGTTAGATTGCACAGAAAGGGCTCAGAGTGGACAGATGAACCCCCATAGGGAGCTGTGAAGGCTATCAAAGACACAAAAAGAGATCATGAGAGGGGCATAATGGTGGAATTCACTAGACTGAGCTTGTCCAACCTGCAGCCCATGGGCCACATGTGGCCCAGGATGGCTTTGAATGCAGCCCAACACAAATCAGTAAACTTTCTTAAAACATTGTAAGATTTTGGGGGGGATTTTTATTGTAGCTCATCAGCCATCATTGGTATATTTTATGTGTGGCTCAATGTGGCCCAGGGAAGTGAAAAGATTGGACACTTCTGCACTAGAACCTTCCCGGGAGGTGGGGCTTTTGACAGGGTCACGTGCTGCCTAGGAGCCTCTCCCTCAGACTTAGCAGTGAAGAGGACAGGTCATTGAAACAGCAAGAGCAGGACCACGGACCTTACTTTGTGCCTTTTGGCCTGAGCTGCTTTCACAAATTGCCACAGATTGATGGCTTAAACGACAGGTATTTATTTTCCACAGTTCTGGAGGCTGGGAATTCTGACATCAAGGGGCTGGCAAATTCAGTTCCTGGTGAGGGCTCTTTTCTTGACTTGTAGACAGCAGCCTTCTTAATGTATACTCACATACAGCCTTATTTCCAAGTGTGCATGTGGGGAGAGGGAAAACTCTCTTATCTTTTCCTCTTCTTAAAATTTAATAATCTCATCGTGAGGTCCCCACCCTCCTGACCTAATCTAGATCTAATTACCCCCCAAAGATCCCATCTCCTAATACCATCTCATTGTGTTTAGGACTTCAGTGAATTTTGGAGAGACACAAACATTCAGCCCATAACAGTTTAAATACTTTTAAAATTCAGCACCGTTTTGAAGATTTATTAATATTCATGTGTATATCTAATCCTGTGGTTCCCAAACTGTGCACAAACATGCTCTGGGTAGCTGCAGGGAACCCACAGAGGTGCTCTGGGATACTTTCCATTTTCGTGGGAAACACAGTGATGCAAAACATCTGTCAGGCATCATGTGAACCACTAACTTGAGGCAGTTCACAGTTCCAGCATTAGACTGCTGCATTCCTTTCCATGACATCTTATTTTTGTGAAGCTGTATTTTCAGTAGTTGCAGTGACAAGCAGATACTACGTGAAAATCAAGGAGAAACAAAATAAGGGCACAGTGTCCAATCTGACCCCAACATTTGAGAAGCCACACGGTGCCCAACAGGCACACACATCACATCCCCTCAGTAAATAATTCTGGTTATTTAAGAATGAAATATTATTTTTTCCTCCAATGTATGTGTATAAATTTCTTCAAAGAGGTACTAGTGTGTTGGTACATAAATACGTATTAAGCTGTTTGGACCATCTACTTAATAACAGAACAGAATGGCTAGCCAGAGCTGTTAGCCATTTCTTTTGGCCTAGGAACACCGTGAAGACATTGGTGCGTGAAGTGAGAATGTTTGGGAACCCCTGGTCTAGTTGATCATATTTGTTAGTGAGCCCACACCACATTTTATTATCCAGGCCCCCAGTGAGTGACACCTGGGTGGAGTCCAGTTCAGTGCAAACAGCATTGCATGGAACGTCCTCCCCCATGGCCCTATGGACCTGTGTAAGAGAATGTTTCTGGACTTTATGTCTGAGAGTAGGATTTATATGATGTATGCATGACTGATTGGACCAGAGAGTGCTGGAGTACTCCCGAGAATGGCTGTGCCAGTCAACGCTCCCGCCTGGAAGGCATGAGGCTACCCCATTCCTATCCCATATATTTAGCACTTGGCACTTCCATCCTTCTAATTTTTTGCCGGTTTAATAGATGAGAAGTGATTTCCCTTACTGTTGTAATTTGCGTTTTTTCTCATTATTGATGAATTGGAGCATTTCTTCATATAGACTCATTGGCCACTCAGGATTTCTCGTTCAGTGAATCCCATACTTATCCTTTACTCATTTCTCAGTTGAGTATTTTTGTCTCTTTCTTGTGGATTTTCAGGAATTTCTGGATGTTTCAAGATGTAAACCCTCTGTTCATTTTAGATGTTGCAACTCTCTTCTCCCAATATGTCATTTATCTGTTAACTTGATCCAACTAACCTTTTGTTGACTGGAAATCTTTAAATTGAATATAATAAAATCCATCAATTTTTTTGCCTTATTGTCCAAGTTATTTGATCTTAAGAAGTGCTTCCCCACCCTCGGTTCACAAAGATATAATCCTGTATTTTCTACAAAGACATTAGCCTATATTTTTTTCTATTAACAAGATCTTTGAATTTCACATTATTGAATTTTCTTTGAATCCAGGCAT